AAATGAAAATACAAATTTATTTCAACTATATATTGACATGCCAAAGATTTCAAATTAAATAAATTTTATTTGATTTGATGGATAAAATTAATACGTAATTAACAAACAAAAGTTAAAAACTAAATTTAGTTTGCCAAGATTTTCTTTTACATTTCGAAACTTATTTGTTAAAGAATTTTTTATAAAATGTGTCTTCCTTTAAAATTAAATATCAGGTTAGAATAATTATATTGCATACATACATATATATATATGTATTTTATACAGTACAGTAAACCAACATAATAGCTCCCTATATAAAAACTATCCTTTGAATCAATTAAATTAAACAATTTATAAATGCTCAGAGAAGTCTATATAAATCCATTAAAAAAAATTATTTTGGATAGGAATATCTGTATTACGAATACCTCAGATTCCAGACTCTTCTACAGTATTCACTACACATTCAAATGTTCCATCATTTTTAGCGTCAAACGGAAAACAATTAAAATTGTTTCAGTTTCTTAGGCGTTGCTTTCAGCTTTTCCCCTCGTTTGTTTATTTACCATATAACGAACGCCCCACACAACCCTTTGGCTGTGTTTGTTTGTTTTATGGCCTTCATATGCATATACACACTGTAGCCGGGCCATATAAACATCGTCTAAAACACATTTCGTTACGTTAGTCGCGAGTTCTTTTTCGCAACGGAAGTTTGTGCCATGAGTCAGTTGCCCAAAATATGATGTAGAATACAAATTGGATTGATTTTCGATCTAGCTTAGATGATTATATGGTAGCCGATTGCCTAATGGGCCCACACACACCTACTATGTAGAACTACATTTAAGGCACTACGTTGTTTACCTATATACATAGGCGTACATATATACATATATTCTTGATTAATTCGCTTCACCGCTTCACGGTCAGGCGTTGCGGTTGCCCGATAAGGCTCACACAGTTCCTAACTGTGCCTAGACATGCTTATGGACGACTTTTCCTGATTACTCACATATCGCATAACACATTCGCTATCATTCGTCGGCTCAATTTGTCGCTGTTCTATTATAATAAAGTTTCAGACAGCTCAGCTCGACTGTAATAAGTATCAATATAAATGATTGCAAGTATCTGGTTTCGATTAATTTGACTATATCTTATCACAAGTGAAAGTTTTGCAACATTCTCGAAAGATTGCCCAAAAGAGTATATATTAAGTTTGTTTTTAAAAACATATTATATAATGAGTAAAACAGTATAAGCCCAAATCATTTTGAATTGAAAAATGTGCTTTATTTCCACTGCATAATAACACTTTATATATACATAATTTGTTTTCCAACACTTCTAATCCGATTTCCAGAGTTTCGAAATAGCATTACAATCTTTTTCAGACTCTTCAGCATCAGCATCTGTTAGATCATTAAGATATCCTTCAAGAAAATCTCACACATTTCAAGGCAAACTAATTTAATATCTTTTGGAATTTCTCGCCAACGATAAAGACAAATAAATATTGTTATATATGTATGTATACATTAGTATTAGCAAGAATCGTATATAGCACAAATGTTTAAATAAATTCTGTGGAAAGACACATTGAGACGTCCGCCAATTGCGCATTTTAGAAAACGCAAAAGCGAATGGGGCGAACAAATTAATTCCAGACGTGTTTTTGAATTTGATTTTGTTTTCTTTTCTCTTCTTTTTTTCGATTTTGCCTTTTGCGATTTCACTAAGTTCGCACATAAAAGTAACAGTAAATTTAATAGAGAATTCTAAAAATAGAAACAAATTCGCTTAAAGCTTAAGAGTAAACAGACGCCAATTCACTCTCTTTCTCTGTATGTGTATGCCCCGCTCTACACCCCCTACCCACTCCTCTCTCTGACCCTGTCGATTAGCCCGATCAGACGATTCGTTTGATCTACAATTAAGCAATTAAAGTTTATATATATATACATACATACATATATAGATTATACAGATTTTTATGCCCTTTTTTGCTATACTAAATACCATTTTTCGCAATTTTGTTTTCAATTTCAGGCGGCTTACCGTTAGAGCTGAGCAGTGTTGTACAGCGAACATAAATTAGAAATGCCACGTAGAAGAGCACGAACATTACACGAAAGCTACAAGCAATAACAAAATATAACAAGCAAAATAAATAAATTAACCAAAATGATGTCAGTTAAAGTTTGTCGGCCAGCTAACGCACAGTGGAGCAAAGATAATAGGTAATACGACAAATGTTAACTAAATGAAATATAAAATAGTAATTTAAAAACAAATTGTACTTCATAAATAAACTATGTCAGTTCTCTACATCCTTGTACATATTTTACCTAAAATAAATATTGTAAATATGTGTGCTAATTTCAATTATTCAAATTCATTACCTATTTATGAATTATATTTTACATACATAATCGAATTATTATTCATTGAGCCACTTTGCTCCACTGTGCACAGATTAAAAACGAATAAAGATACCTGAACGAAATAAAATATGGCATGTGTGCGTATTTATTTTGATGTCTGTTTATATAATCTAGTGTTAAAGGCTAATATATATCAGATGAAAGCTAATCTATAATCTATAAAATACCCATGTATCCATACACATTTTTTTGATACACATAATCTATATTAAGAGACACGAACGTAATAAATGTTAATTTAATTTACAGCAAACATAAAAAAAGGAAATTAAATGCAAACCCTAACAAAAGTTTGCCATATAATTTATAGAGCTATACGTAATATTTACATATATATATATACGATATGAAACTTTATATCTATAATAATTAATGTGTGCTAGTTTAAAGATCTACTAATGCAGTCAATATAAATAAAGTGCAATGATGTTGAAGATAAATATCCCTAACAAATGCAAATATTTTTCTTCTTATCTAAGGATGTTTATCTTCTTATTTTAGATACCGTAAAAATAGTGAAATAGTTATTAAATCAAGAGTGCCTGACTAAAGGATACTCTGCACCCAGCTCCGAGCACCTGTTCCACAGATGGTCTAGCTTTTAAACACATACACACACACATGTAGAAAGCCGCTGAGTTTGTTCTTTATACAGCTCTAGAGCTATGAAAAATTTAAATAATTTATTCAATTCAAGCACTAAATAGAGATCTTCCTTTGTCTTTCTGTATGTATTAACTTAATTAAATGTTAACAGCTTGTCAAAATTTTCAAATATTAATTGTTTTCATTCACCTAACGAGACGAACACTAAATTTTGGGTCTCTTTGAGAGTTTAAAGTTATGACTGAAAAACTAAAACCAAATATCGATTCTTTCGCTTCTAAGATATTTTGAGGAATTTTTCAGACCACCTCCAGCTATTATTGATCGACAGAGCTCATCTTTCAGAACCACGAGATCGGTTAAGCCTGAGCTACCCACCTATCATTAAACTGTGATAGGTGGTTGCATAATATATATAAATATATACTCCATATATTATTGAGTAATTCCGGAACTGTGGTCAATAAATAAATTATTTGCCTTTATTTTTAATTGGCAACATCTGTTTGTAATTTAAGCCCATATTTTTATTGTCTTTGCCAGTGCGTTCCAATTCCAAGCTGCAGTACAATGGGCAAATATCAACAGACATATGTAACAATTGTTGTGGCTGACGCTTTTGTCAAACAGTTAAAGTGTCTGCCAGATATATATATAGATATATAAGGCTATATATTGTATATGTATGTATGTCAGTAAATATAAACTTGTCGTAGCTCTAACGTACACAATGGCTGCCAGCGACATTTGTTTTGTAATTTAATCTTATCGTTTGACAACTTCTATATAGATATTTCCCATATAAAGATGTATATACATACATATGTATCTATATGGTTAACGTATATATGCACTTAAATGCTCTATGTATCACTCGGAAGTTCTAATAGGTTTTTTTATCCATTAATTGTATAATTTATTGTGTGCATAAAAATTCCGCAACATTTTAATGGCTTAATGCATTTTATAACACTACAAAAATAATAAGAACCATAACAGCAACAGCAGAAGGCAGGAGCCAAAGCGTGTCAAGTGAAATGAAAATGCGACCGGCTGACGACCTTGAAATCAATTTGTGCCATGATGACGTCATGCGTCAACAACAACAAACAACTGGCGCAACAGGCACCGCAGACAAGCCAACGACAGCTGTTTACTGTATGTGCCTATGGGTATATCATTTAAAATAGATCTCAACTACAATTTACAAGCAGAAATTCTATGCATAACTTCGAAAACACTTTGCACCCACGAAATTTCTTTAGATTTCTATTTCATTAGTCGCACGCGATTATTTCATTTTTTTTTTTTTTTTTGCTGCAGCTAATTTCCTTTTTTTAATGGCTCGCCGAAAGCGAAACCGGTCTGTCATGTTCTCTTGCTAATATGCGTGTGTGTATGTGTGTTGGCGAGTGTATTTTCGTTAATTAAGCAACAGAAAAACATCTGACGCTCTAAAGCGGCGCCAACGCGCTTTGGTGACATTTTTCGGCCTTCTCTTATGCGTGCGCTGATGCGCGAGTTAGCATAAATAGCTGTCTAGACAGCTTCTATAGATTTAAACTAACCGAATATGTAAGTATTATGTTATATTATTTTTATTTTTCATCTAAATATTACGCACTTTGCTTTATTTTCGAAAACTGTATATTTATCGATAACAAAACCTGTGTATTGACATTTAAAATGGGGAAATAAGCCACAAGCGCGCGATCTGTTAACATAACAGTCGATTCTCTGTTAAAATAACAACATATAAGTGAAACAAATTGCTGTTAAATTTTGCATTCGTTTTAATACATTTGGTGTTGTGTGAGTGTGTGATTGTGTTTACAAAAGTGAACATAAAATAAACGTTCTTTTACACGCTGTACTATGTGGTGTATGAGTGTGTGTTGCTTTGAGATATCTACATAGCTACATACATACGGGTTGTTCACATCATATTTAATTAAACATAATAAATACATTTCTAAGCATATCATATATATATATAATATATAGTGTATATAAATATAACAAATAATACATCCAGTTGTTACGGCTACACTAAAACAGGCCATCCAATTCAATCAGATTCAACAGTACAAGTGATACAAAAATACATTATAATGATAACCCAAAAACGGAGAGTAGCTAAACACAGGTGAGTCCACTAACATCCACATCCACATCCATTCAATGCCCAATACCCTACTGCCGTATTACAAAATTGGTTGTAGTCATTTTCTTCTTTTAGTTTTCAGGTTTTAAATACGTATTTCGCTAGGGTTTTAACAAGCGTATTGTCTCACTAATTCGATTTAGCTGAATACGGACTAGTCGATCCGACCGAGGGCGGTGTGGGCGTGGCACCGCTGCGTATGCCATCACCCTCGCAAACGTATTTGCCTGTAAAGCAGAATACATAAGAATTGACTTTACCAATAGCAGAGAAATGTACACACCCGAAACAAAACGTCTTTTCACCAAGGACAATCGATATCCGCCTCCTTGCAGTTCAAATTCAATGCCCGAGAGTGTGGTACCCTCACAATTGAACTGTGCGGCCAGCGTGGCCGGCGTTGAAGGCCCATCATTCAGCTCGAGCCGTGCACGAAGCGTACCCACGCCGCCATCCTGTGAATTCTGCGATATGTCCGTAAAGTTCCAAACCAAGCGATTCGATTCACCCAACCTGAATAACAAGCATTGTAAGTTAAAGACTGAAATGCATTCCTGCCAGACGGGTCGACTTACCAGGATGAATGCGGCTTAGACTGAACAATGCGCACGGAGCCATTCACCGGCACAGAGAGTGTGACATTCAACAAGGGCGACGCGTTGGCCATGGCATGATTATTGTACTTGTAGTCAACCTTGAGCGCCGTGTAGCTCGGCTCGCACTTCCAGTAGCTGACCAGCTGAAGGGGACACGAGCTGGCGCCCGGCTTGGTGCGCACCTGATATTTGAGTATGTCCACGTTGTAATATGAGGCAGTTGGATTTTTCTCCGCCTGCCTGCGCAGCAATGCTGTCAACGCAGGCATATTAAACTCCAACAGCGTGCTCAGCGCGCTCGACTGTTGACGATCTCTGTGAGAGAGTTGGATTAGAGCAGGGAGTTGGGAGTGTGTTTAGGGTTCGTTTCACTTACATTTGCACAAGTTTCCCGTTGGGTACAAGACTCTCCAGATTTTGTACTTGCTTAATGCGAAAGCCCAGCTTAGCTGGATTTGGATTATTGGCTAACAGACCGGCAATGCCGGCTGGGAATGATAGCATCATATCACCGGACACCTTCACCTGGCAGCGCGACTCGTCGCTGCCCCTGAAATAGGCGTGTATAATCTCATGGAATGCCACAGCAAGTGGTATTGTATCCGATATGCCGATTGTCAGTGGCGACGGCCCACGAGACGAGCCCATGCCCCCAATGGCGGTGCGAAACTCTAAGCTGCCAATGCTGTCCGCTCGATTCATTGCTGGCGCTGGACTCATCCGTCCACGTCCAAGGTTTGTTGCACCCGCAGCAGCCGCCGCAGATGCTGCCGGGCCAATGGCAATCATATCCGAGCGCCGTGAAGGAGGGCGCGGAATGGCAATGCTGCTGCCACCAGATGTGGGTGTTGGTATCTGCCGCCCTGGCGGCTTACTAAACGTAGCCGATGCTGGCGCCGAGACGCTCACTTCGCCCAGCTCCGAGAAAATATCGCCCAAGTCCGCATACCGATTGTGGCTAGTATTGTTGTTCGCATTATTATTGGAGAGCGTGGGACTCTGCAGTGGCGCATATGGGTGCACGCTTGCCGTGGGCGTTGATGCATTCGATATCTCTGGTGACTGTTGACGAGATGCAGGTGCGCCGCGTTGCCCACCTTGCAGTTGTTGGCTATGGTGCTGTAAATAAATTAAATTTCATGATCATCTTTTGACTCGCATTTAAAATTATTCTTCAGCAGCTGTTAACGATAAAAACTTAACATTTGAAGTATGCATGGCAGCATTACACTCTCCTCAATAACAGCCAGAGTGATTTAACGCTGACTGTTAGAGCTCAACATTAAATGTTAATACCAGAAACTTTTATGAACATTCTGTTAGTTAGTAGTAAATGCTGTTTTATTTTATTTAGTAATTAACTTACCGCAAAAACTCCAGTGGGTGATAACGAAATATTCTCGACAGTTGCTCTCAGCTCATCCACGCTAGCCGACATGGGCGCCTGTCCATTGTTGAGTGGCTTTATCTTCACATGAATGCGTCGCTTGTCGTTATCCGAATCAGAGTCTGAGTCGGTGTAGAAGCTGCCAGCTGCTAAAGGAGTTGTACGTTTAGTTAACATGCAGTATTGCTCAGACAACAGAAAACGTGTGGCTTACATTTATCGTGGCCCTCCTCCCAGGCTATTTCCTTAGCTGGCTGTATGCTAAAGCCCTCTTCGTCCACTTCGTACCCACCTCCACCGGCATTGGTTCCACCGACAGCACCTGCGCCCGCTGCACTCGCACTAGCTCCACCCACTCCAGAGTTGCTGCTGGCATTGGCTAGAGCACCGGCTACAGCCACGCCGCCCCCGCTGCCACCCATGCTACTGGCGCCCGCCGAGTCAACGCTGCCTTGGGCCGAGGTGGCGGACAGGGCAGCCAGCCCACCGCCTGCGCTGCTGCCGCTGGAATTTTGAGTTTTCATGCTGCGTCCGTGATCATCATAGTCGAGTAATGTGTTATTCCCCCGATCCGCACTGCAGGTAAAGCGTAGATCGATTTAATTGCATTTTCAATTGTTTCATAATTATTAAAATGCTTTTTACCTGGCCAAACGCTCTTCCTGGATATTGTGATCTGCAGCCTCGTTGTCTTTTTTCTTCTTGGATTTTTTGGTTTTCGCCTTATCGCGTCTACTACGCAAAATGCCCGAAACTATTTCAAATTATTCAAAAATTAGTTAGTTAAATCGAAGCTTAATTGCAATAGCAGTTCTTGGCTCTACAAGGACAGCAAGCTCTACAACAAACATTATGAGCTATACTATATGCAAGTCTAATTCACAAATTTAGCAAGCTACGCAAATTCACATAAAGTTCAGTATTTAAAGACATTCTGCTTGGGTCTACAAAATGCATATGGTTAAAAATATGTTCTCAAACAAATTTTAATTTTAAGAGTACTTTAGTCTTTTAACACTGAACTTTCTTCGTTTTAAAGTGCGTAGATTTACTCATAGTGTTGAGCAACAATATATAGAAACCGTTCATAAAGATTCTTAACTCAACTCAAACACCGCCATGGATAAAGTGCAACAAATGGTTTAGTGAACATGTTAGAGATATTTTACAAAAAATAAATAGCCGTGCAAAAAAGCATTGAAAACTTGTGCTTAAACTTAAATATACATATATATACGTGGATATATGTATATATATATATATATATATAGACACATATGTATATATAGTTATGTGTGCATTTGAGATATGGATTGGATTGGTTTCGGTTTGTTGTTGCTGGGAAGGTAGACACTGTATGTTTATTTTCGCATTTACCCTGAGAGTTTGATGTGAATATATTTAAAAGTGACGTTGTACGTCTGGACGTTGTTGTTGTTCCTGTTGGCGTGGCTGCGTTGTTACCCACTGCAGTCTGTTGTTGTTGTTGTTGATGTTGCTGATGATTTAGATGATCTTGATCGTTTAATGATTTCGATAATTGCTGATCGCTTGTCGTTGCATTCAATTGTTTTCTATCAGCTGCGCTAGCAGTTGGTGTTAAGACCTCATTTGGCTGCTGCTGCTGTTGTTGTTGTTGTTGGTCTTGTTGTTGTTGCTGCTGTTGCTGATCTAAAGTTTTTAATTTCAATTAGTTTGATCAGTGGTGCATGGATGATCAAGTCGATATTGAAATGAATGGTTATTCATTGAATGAATGAATGAATGAATGTTGTATTCGATGTTGTCGGCGTGCAAAAAGCGAGACACAAAAGTGCAAAACAGAGAAGCGTTGAAAATATTGTTAGTTGTTGAGCAGTTAATCATTGTAGTGTACGTGTGTTTCTGTGTGTGTGTATGTGTATTTGTGTTCGTGTGTGTGTGGGTGGGTGTGAGTGAATATAGGCTGTTAACATTTAGCTTTTGGCTGGTGTTTGAGTGTACGTTTCGTAGAGTACATAAGAACATAAAATAAACGTAAATAATCACAAGTGTATATACATGAGTAAGAAATATAACAAAACATAAATATAAACGAAAATTTAAAAAATTTTAACACTCTAGTGTAATTGTTTTCCGGCGGCACATCAAGATAATGCATGGTTAAAAAATACATATTACAAAAATAAAATAATATTCATATGTCAGCAAATGCTTTGGAAAATCTTTAGAAATACTTTCAGATATAGATAGATGAGTACAGCATTGTTATTTAATTCGGACTGAATGGTTCGAAATATCTAAAACAAGTCCATTTTTAATCTAGGTTGAGCAAATTAACTTTGTAAATAGGCTGTACATTAAGAGAATCAAGTCAACGCTAACGTATCGGCTTAGTTCTTGATATTACTTCATCGAATTAGATTTACTGGAAACAAGTTTTGCCCTTTGAGTTATGCATTTGAAAGTGGGATGGACAGATAATGTAAATTTAGATAGAAGACAGAATAGTTAACATACAAGAATTGCAGAATACAAGATATACACATATGGATAGAGACTGGTACCGTTGTAAAGGAAACAAATGAAAAGCATTAAGAAAACAGAGCATTAAGAAAGAAAAATAATAAGAAAATGAACCTTGACTACTAGTTGTATCCAGAAGCTCTGAGTTAGGGATATTTTTGTTGGTGACATTGGTGGTGAAATTATTTGTGCCGGTTGCTGTGGTGTTGTTGGTGTTCGAGTTGACGCTTGTTGTTGTTGTTGTGATGTTCGTGTTGTAATTGTTGTTGTTGGAGCTGCTACTGTTGCTGTTGCCAGGCATACCGAAATTCCCAGCGCTAACAGAGCTGGCGCTCTGCTGCGGTTGCTGTTTGCTGGCCGTCGGCAAGAACCAAGAGCGCAGACTCTTTACCGTTGACGTAGCGGTGCTCGCTTGTGGCGGCACCGGCGGCGGCGGCTGTGCCCCCAACGTTTCCGGCGAAGTGGGCCGTGGCGATGACGGACCACCGCCCACGCTGCCCAGCATCGCATCGTCTACATAGGGAATGCTTCCGCTGGCCGCACTGCCGCTGCCCAATGAGATGCCCGCAAGTGCATCGCCAACACCGGCACCGCCTCCGCCCCGTTGGTCCATCGAAACCAGACTACCCGAAGCTGCTGCTGCTGTGCCACCCGTACGCAAAGCAGCCTGAATGCTGGTTGCCGAATTCGAATTTGATGCCGCGCCTGTTGCCTGAGGCGGCTGCTGCAGACGCGATGCATTTGACAGCGGAATAAATTCCAGCTCGAGCATCTCTGTGAGTAGATCAAAAAGATTTGAATTAGTATCATTAAATATAGTTTAGTACTACTTGATTAATTAACATGTATGTAAACCATATATGCTGCTGTTATTAACATATTATTCATAAGCATTAATTATTGATCAAGTGCTGTTATTGTCTGCAGAGCCGACAACTGTTATTAAGCCTGCTTATGAACACTATGTTAATAACAGCTCTGAAGAACGATGTAATAGAGTAGACGTACCGGGCTTCTCGAGACCCGTGTATTTATTTAATACAAATTGCTCGAGTAGCTTATCAACGGACATGTCCACAAATTGGCGCTTGAAGTCCGAATGCACTTGTCCGACCATATCGTGATTGTTCTGCAGCATCTCCAAGTAAGTGGATAGAAACTCTTTCATCTGACGCAGATGCACCTCCTCGATCTCTTGGAAACGCTGCAATGCAATACAGAATTTACTATTATATTGTATCATATTACAATTTGCAGCCTCACATACCCTGCACGTTTGCGTCATGCGTCGCTCAAACTCGTTCTTGATCGGATTATGCTTCTCGAGTAGCGCTTTATAATCCTCCTGCAGTTTTTTAAGTTTACTCTCCAGCTTCTCGGCATCCTTGTGGGAGCCATTGTCTTTGCGAAGCTTTTCCAGCTCGAGCACCTTGCTGGCATATAAATCGCGCAGCTTTTGCACAGCAACTGTTGATGTTTGTATGGCCTGAACGCACTCGAGCGTGTGCGATTCCTCCTCTTTGACGCACTTGTGTTTCTTGTGCAGCTCATCGGCGTACTTGGCCACATCTTTGACCAGCTCCGTCAACTTCTGCACCATTTGCATGTGCAGCGTTGACAGCTTTTCCGCCGAGGTGCGTAATATGGTCCAAACTGGTGCAAAGGTGCTGTTCAATGTGCCCGTGCTGGCCTTGTGGGCCAACTTGGACATCATTTTCGAGTTCTGCTCCTCTATGTTCGATTTCTCGCGCAGAAACTCTGACAGCTCCTTGCTGGCCACCAGCCCGTACTTCATATTATGATACAGCACATCGAATCCATTGTTTTTCTCCCCCTGCACCAAAAGCAATTGACATTTCAATAGGAATAGGAATTGTTACTTGTTTCCATTAGCAGCAACTCACCCAAAAATAATCGTTAAAGTCCACCGTCATTTCGCGTGTGTGCCTTAAAATCTAAATCTTACAAAATTCTAGGGCCCCCGGAATATTTTAAAAATGCTTTGCTGAGCTTCGCTTTAGCTTGTTGTTGGTTATGCCTTTGGCCTTATTGTTGCTTTGCTTTGTCGTCGTCGTGGCTAAATAATTGACTTGGTTACCCAATCCCAATTCCAATCCAATACCTAGTGGCTCAACAGTAGTGTGGAGCACAGTGGCACAATGCTGGTTGATCCCATCACCATCTTTACCATGATCATAAAATGTTCCGTCTTCAGTACGCTTTAGACGCATTGGTCTTAGGAAATCCCCCTTATTTGATATCCTTGACAGATGCTGCAATAAATAAGATATAAACGTAAAATTAATGATCTTTTAAAATAGTTGGTATTCAATGAATTTTATCTGAAATTGCAATACTATAAGGTTCATGGGTACAGGAAATATTAATGAGAAAAACAGAAATTCCTCTAGCAACAAAAATTCAAATATTCAGTGTTTTTTTTTTTCTTTTTTAATATAAATTAAATAAACACATATTCCGTTTATAAAGTACATTTTCAGAAGCTTATATAATACTACTAAAATCCTAAACCCGAAATGGAATCGCATCTACTGCCCAGCCTGTGCCTTGGCCAACTCCAGATCGATGCGTTCCTCCAGGGCACGCGTCAATATAGTGCAACAGTCCTTAATTGCATGATAGATAATGTTCTTGATCTGGAGTTTGTCCTCGTGATTGGTGTGCGAATGCGAAAGCCGCCTGAACTCATGGGTCAGATGATAGCAGTGGGTAATATTCTCCGGGGAAACAAAATCCTCGGCTACCTTGATGCAGTTGTGCAAGTTCTGCACCTGGTGCGGTGCACCGGCAGGTATGAAGACTGCATCGCCCAGGCACTGGACAATCGGATAGCCCTCGACGCCATACTCCTTGAACAGGCGCGCACGCAACTTGTCGTCGAGATACCAGTTTTGGTCGTGTATGGGATCGTGGTCCGGCTCCAGCCTGAAGCCCTTCTCCAGGGTGACGCGATTAAGCAGATCCCGTATCTTGTCCGCATCGCGTGCGGGAAAGATGTGCCACAGTGCGCCAGGCAGCACATCCGGCGACTGGCAACGCGCCCGTGTGATATATTCACAGCCGCCCAGTGCAATGGCACGCTGTGTGGCCGCCAGCTGGGGCTTGCTGTCCTCATCCGTGGGTATGCCCACGTAGACCATTATGTTGACTGCGTCCGATATGTCCAGATGCAAATTGGTGGTTCCCTTATCCGGATGCAGTGCCGAGCCATAGGCATTGTACATCTTCGGCCCCAAATCGGGAGGCACAAACATTTTGGGTAAGCAGCTGGCTATGTTGAGATTGCCAGTGCGCAGCGTATACTCGGGCATGGGCAGACCCCTCATCAGATCCGCAAAGCGTGTGGGCAGTATTTCGGCGAAATCGTCGCCCGGCGGCCAATCCTTGAGCTTCAGCAGCATTGGCTTGCCATTGGCGTCGAGCAGGCGCTTGTGCATGCACTGGAAACCCTCCCAAAAGTGGCGCATCGGCTGATTGGGCACCAAATTGCCATTCAGGCAGTTTATCAAATCGTTTGGTTTGTCTCCAAAGTCACGGCAAAAGGCCTGCGGATGCCATAGGTCCAGATTGAGCGAGCGAGCCACCTCGGATATCATCACCGGCTGTCCGCATTTCCACACCTCTTGGAAAAGTACCCGATTATCGGGATGCATGGGATCGGTGAGGCGCAACAATTTGCCATCGCATAGCCATTCATGGGGAACACCCGGCGCCAGTTGCGTCGAGTGCACCAGGGTCATGGCGCGTGGTGGCAAGAAGCGTCGCAAGCCGGCGAGGCCCTTACGCAAAAAATTGATGTGCTTGAAGTTATCAAAAGCGCTGGTGATGGGATCCTTGCCGAGTGTCTCCTTGGTCCAGACGCGACCGGGCACATAGTCAATGCCATTTTGTCGGGCGAATTCCAGTTTCTTGGCGTGCAGCTGCTCCAGCCGCTGCTGCTGCTGCACCTTCTGAGCGGTGGCCAGGGAAGAGGCGCTGGTTTGCTGCTTCAGCTGTGACTCCTTGATCATGTCTTGAATGAGCTGCGTCAGCTGCTCATCCTTCACCTGCTGTTTGCTGAGCAGACAGCCGCACACTTGCGGCACCTGCCACAAAGTGCGCACCTCGTGCAACAGACGGCCGAGCACATTAAGTGCATCGCCTGCAATAATTTGGGTCAGCATCAGCTCGGGCAGCGTATGCTGCTGCTGCTTATCGCTGTCGGTGCAGAGCAGCCAGTGGTAGGCATCGTAACCTCGCTGAGCCTCGACTCGCCGCTTGTTTTGCAGTCCCTCCTTGCGATCCTTGTAGCAATCGATGCATACACCGAAGCCACACTTTCTGCATGTCCAGTGATAGTTGAATAGCGTTGTATCGCAGACATCGCAGATTTCCCGTATGCCCTGTACGGCTTTCTTCCAGGCAATCGTACCGTCGGGATTCTCGTGCAGCTTCAACGCCTCCGCCTCCTGGCGCCACAGATAGCAAAACTGATCACCGGCATGCAACAAAATGTAGCGGCACACTTGTATATCCATAAAGCCAGCGGTAGGCGTTGTCTTCGAGTCCGGCTGCCAGATTGCGTAGTCAGCGCTGGTCGGCTCCAGGTAGGGATTGGGAAATCCTGCAACGCTTAACTCTCCTTCGGCATTGTATTGGAGGCGTCGAAACTCGTAAAAGCGACAGTAGATATCATTATTGCTGTTACCGCTGTTGTTATTGCTGTTGCTGCTGCTGTTGCTGTTGATACTGATGTTGCTGCTGCTGCTGCTGTTGGCTTCCGCTGCTGTTGCAGGTGACGCTGCAGGCAGTGTATGACGACGTCGGCACTCGCGACATTTCGGTATTGGCGTCGAGCTGATCAATTGCTGTAGCTTAAAGCAGGGCAAATGCTGCAGAAAGATTTGGCAGCTGGCGCGGTTATCGCGGTCACGTTGCTGTTCCTCAATGCTCAGTTCAATAACATTGCTTTGCGGCGGACGCTGCTGCTGTTGCTGTTGGTGTTGATGCTGTTCTTGTTCATCTTTCATGTCCGTTTGAGGTTCTGGTTCCAGACAGGCACGTTTACAGCTGTTATCGCTGCTGTTAATCTCATTAGATATGTGTATCTCGATTATGGATTTCGGCTCCGAACGTGACAAAGCGCGCTTTCGGCACTTGTCGTCACTATTTGATAACGGGGTTGCCAGACCGACGTTAGCTGTGCCGATGGCTGCTGCTGCTTCTTGCGACATTGCGAGCTATGAGCGTGCAGAATGAGCGAGAGAGAAAAAGGGAGAGAGAAAAAGCATAATATGAACATCTCATAATTTGCCAGCTTATTACAAGTTTGCGTTTGTAGCCGGCTTTATTTTGCTTTGTAATTTGTGATATGCTTGCTTAGTTAAACTATAAATTTGTTGTTGCTGCTGATGCCGCATTTATTATTATTGTTGTTTCTTTGTGAGTGGTATCTTCTCATGCGATCGTTGTCGATAACATTTATGATACGGTACAACTATTACATGCTGTTAAAAGAATTGCCCTCATATGAAGGCTTTTTCTTCGTTTATTTATATATATACTGCATTGGTATTTTCTGCAGTCACATTAACCTATCTCAGAATAAATTCTGTACAAAATATTCTTATTATATATAACAGCAATTAAACACATTAGGTTAAAAGACTCAACAGCGAATTGATAATTTGTCATAAATTGAAATGGGGCGTTTGTTTGGTTGTCGACGCATATACCTTGCATATACATTTGTGCGCGAGTGTCTACCTGATAAGCATAATATAGTAATGCAAACACCCCCAATAAAAAAAAACTATTGACTCACCCATATACAACAAATAAATAAGCACTATATATGCTTTGCAGTATTATAATAATCAAAACTTGATATAAATATATATATAGAGAGAAACAGGGCTTCCTATTTTTGCGACACTCAGCGCTATTTTTAGGCAACATTTGCTAATTACGCGAGATGGTCATTAAAAAGTACACACAAACATATTGATATTTGCATCTACATACATATATATCCACACACACGCACCTACAATATGTTCACGTGCAAATTTTTAACTTCATTATGATAAAAACTCCCTCTCTCTCTCTCTCGTAATCTCTTCTCACAAATATGTTCAACAGATGTCAGTATCATTTGCCGCATATCGATAAATTTACTCTTTTGTATCGATTTATTATAACCAAACAGGGGTGGAAATGTATATATGTACATATATTATATGATTTAGACATTTACAGAGATTCACTAATTATCCAAAGTATGACAACACTAATATAGCCAAACACACATCGTTCTTCTGAGACGCGTTGAATTAACCTTGGCTGACATAGCACACAAAACACATACAGACGCATACGCCCTTGTAGCAGTTGCGATAATGTTTTGGGCGTGAACCGCAGCGAAGCCGCCACAGCTGCCGCTGGTGCTTCTGCGTGTCTTATCGGTAAAAGCGAAACAGAAAGTTAAAGAGAAACATGAAAAGAAAAACTTTACAAAGCGCTGCTCTGCATTCAACAACGGCGACCTCTTCCACAGCACAATTGGCGAATAAATTCACTCTCTGTGCACTATATTATTGACCTTTCAATTAAGTTGACTTTAGTAGCGCCAATTGCTCGTTTTACATAAGAATTGAACGAAAGGCGTTAAATCAATAATATAAATAACAAAAGTGGTGGTAGACAGCAAAGACGTGCTTTCATTTAAATACATACTACACACATACTATATGTATGTACATACATATTCATATATATGTACACATATATAAATAACTATGCAGTAGAAATAGTTGGCACTAGACTCCCTTTTAGGTCGCACGACAACACCATCCTCATACTTCTTTCTTCGTATTTTCTACACGTATTATGAAACTGGTAGCAGCTACAGTTAATATGGTTTAACTTTTAATGTTAATGGCCAATCCAGCTGATAACAAGCACAACTCCTACCATTTGTAGCGTAAACACAACAGAAGCACGACAACACTGTTGTGGGATTACTACATCGCCTACTCTCGCCCACTCCTGATGTGTTGTTTTGTCAATGAATGAGTCGCTTTTTTCAGTGCAGTGGCCATTAATCGGTTTTGAATAACGAACGATTTTACAATTCACTTTGTGCTACTCGCTTCCTTTCAGCAATACCGATTTAGTGGCATTTTTATTTTTTATCAGTTTAAATTGTGTACTTAATAAAACCAAAAGCACAAATACACGCACGTATAGTCCAAGCATATTCACACACACTCACCACACATGCAGTTGAACGCTGAAGCGTTCCTGCATACCAAGTATATACATTTGTATAGACATATGCATACATACATACATATAGATTTGATTGGGGACGGCATAAAACTAATAAATTTTCACACAATAATTATTAGAGTTTTGACATTAATTAAAACTTACATTTTATTATTAAATATTGCTTAAACACATCCACATTCGTTTTAAAATGTTTGTCATTTGAATATCAAACTCCTTGTATATAGAATGATAATTTTTTCACAAACGCGCACAATTAACATACACTCACATAGCAGAACGCGTCGTACTTCTATCTGACTAGTGATGTGCCAATATTGATTGTTAGTCAACAAGTGTTGAATAACATATAGTGTTGATAAATATGCTATAAATTTAGTACACAAGGGACATCAAAATTTTGAGTATTGGGTTTTCACTGCCAAAAGACTATTTAACTGTAAAGATATTGTCAATATATGTTGAATGGACTGATTAAACATAAAAAGACCAAGGTGCAAAATTTAAACCAAATTACTATCGATAACTTCACGTGTGTCCTAAATTCACATGTATCGTTTTAATGCGTACACATCTCTAAGTACCGGACAGCTGAGGCTGCTTCTAATTTGGAAAATATGTCTTCAACATTAATTAAATGTTTAAATGTAGCGAAGACCGTGGGCAGAGTGACGTTCAAAAACTTGCTAACTGCATCGCAAAACCCATTACCATCATTGAGGTTAGTGAAAAAACGTAAAAGATACTGTATTTCGACTGTCGGATCGTGCTTTGAATTTTTATATAATACACAGAACAACAGCTGTTGGCGGATTACTGAAATGCGGCGTGCACACAACAGCTCCGGTACGGAACGAGCGGCTCATGGAGTTCTTTGACGATCCTAAACATTGGAGCGAAAATGAAGTGAAAGTGGGACGCGCCTGGAAACCGGATGAACTGCGCATAAAGTCCAACAAGGAGCTGCATCAATTATGGTACATTCTACTCAAGGAGCGCAACATGCTGCTTACAATGGAGCACGAATGCAATGATAAAATGGAAATCTTTCCCAATCCCGAGCGTATCGATAAGGTAAAAATCTCTATGGAGAATCTAGAGACAGTTGTGCGCGAGCGCAACAAGGCGTATCATCTCCTCGAGACAGGGGAGACAGGCGAACGTCCTCAGCGGCAGGTGAATAACGCCTTCGGTCTGCGCTGTACATACAAATCCTGCGAACATGTACTCCCACCCTTCATGAACACCAAATGGATTAAGTCACGCAATTTGGGCTATGGCGGCCGTGCCGTGCACAAATTCCTGCTGAAGTATCGCGAGAAGCTCTACAATGCCAAACGCAAGGCAAAGAAGTAAGTCAAGAACAATTAATTCTAAGCAACCGATTCAAATATGCATACTTATTTATTTCAGTCGCTCACGAAATGAGGTCATGATGATACTGAGGCGAAATCCAAACTTTGATTTGGAGCTGCTGAAACGCAAATATGCCGATGTGGACATCGACAAACTACGCAAGACCGACAAAACGCGCGGACACTTCGTGCCCAAGGTTGATGCTTGAAAAATGTTCAATATTTAATTAAAATAAATGTAACACAAGTATACTAAACTAGATTCAAAAGTTAATCATCAAATTTGATTTTTTTGCCAGAGAACACGGCAATTTTGGGCTTTAGCTTTTGCTTGGCCACCCAAGAAGGATGCATTCCCTCTGTGCTGGCTGGAGTTGGAGTTGGCGCAGTAATTGCTGGAGAAGCAATTGATGTCTCTGTAATGTCCCCATCTTCACCAAACTTGATTTTCTTTCCTTTGAAATTAGTGACAGTTGGTTTTTGCTGTTCATTGGCCACCCAAGCGGGATGACGTTCATTGAAACGCGTATTCTTATAGTCTTGTTTGTTAGCCAATGGTTTCTGTTTACGTTGCTCCACACAATTTTGAGGCTCCGTCTTGTCCTCATCGGCTACCCAAGTGGAATGACGTTCATTGAAACGCGTATTATTATAGTCCTGTTTTTTAACCAGCGACTTCTGTTTACGGTGCTCCACATAATTTCGGGGCTCCGTCTCGTCCTCCGATTCATTGTTGCTATCGCCAGATAGCACTACTGCCGTTGACAGATATGGCTGACCCGATTCTGTTATGAAAAACGGATCGACTACATGAGTAGGGCGTTGTTTTTCCATTTTCTTGGATTTGTTCCGGTTATCATTAGGTAATGATTTGTTTTCTACTTCTCTAGTTTCCTTGCGCTTAGGCTGTTCAGCAGCATCCATTCGATTTGGCTTCATTTCTGCATCCACGGGCTGCTGCTTATTGGCATCTGTTTTGGATTTCTTATGCCTTACATCGAGCTCAATTTGCTCACTTTTTTGCTTCTTTGATTTTGCTTTGACTTTTATTGCCGGCTTAGATTTAGTTTTTGTTTTCCCCGTGAGCTCTTCATCAGTTTCTTTGCTTGACTGTCTTTTGATTAAGCATTTTCCAGCATCCGTATCAATATTATTTTTTGTATCTTCTTCGCATTTATCCACTTCTGGTTGATTTTTCTGCAGCCATTCGAGCCGATTGCGTGTCTTCTCTTTCAGTTCCTTGAGCTCTTTGCGCTTCCGTCGCTTCTCTTCAGTGCGTTGCAGCTTTAGGCGACGTTTGCTTGTCTCCAATATTGCAATACGCCAATCCGCATTGGCGGCATTAGTTAAATCTAGCTTTTGTTGAAATGCTGCGACAAGTGTTTGCATTACTTTATTTAAGCCCAGCATAGCTATTGCTATTTCATCCGGCGTTGCTCGGCCATTGGTCAACACAGTATTGTGATTTTTGCCATCTTGCAGTAGTAGTGTTCGCATGATGTCCAAGCTTTTGAGCGACTTAAGCTCGGACATGCATTCCACAGTTTTACGTATACGTTCCTGAATCTTTTCATTATCCGGCTGTTTCTTTAATCCTTCCTTTAATTTGCGCACTTTGTTCACCAATTTTGAAATAGTTTGTACACGAGCTTGTTGTATTCGTTTTTTATTGGTTATTACCTGTTGTCGAATACTCATAATAAATGTTATATTTAAATTTGATTTTTTCACTTACCAAATTATTAAATTCTAGTTTATTAAACATTCTGCTTTAGCTCTAGCAACATGCTGTTTTTGCCCGTTGAATTGTTTTGGAATCGAAGAACTATCGAAACTATTTAATATGAAATTCAATGCAATATCAAATACTATCGATAGTAATTGGCAGAGATGTGAGAATTGTATATTATTTGTGTTAAAAAGAAATTGCGTATGATACAAATTGAAAAATAAAAAATACATATAATTATGAGGGCATAAAATACATTTCAAAATTAAAAAAAAAAATTAGTATTCTTTTATAGGAATGTCCTCAAACTCTGTCGATTATTTTATGGCAACTTAGAGGCAGTGTTGAATAATTATCAATAGCACACGAAACTAGCTAACACTTACAAAATACGGCGATATAAAAAATTCTTTCGACAAGAAAACATAAAGTCGGAAATTTTTATTACGTACAAATTATAAAATTAGTTATTGATAGAAAAAAAAAGTGCTATAGTATTAAGCTCATTATAAGCAAAAAGTTAAAGTCGATTAGTTCGAATTCATGTGAGCAGAAAAATTAAAAAAAGGAGGAGCCGATTTAAGCGACAGCAACAAAGAAGGTCCGGCAGCATACATACATACAAACACTCGCAACATGCACACACTCTTACGCACACACACATGCAGAGATAAGCCTGCACTGCAAGCCAGGAAAATGGCAAATAATTGTGGTGTATGATTATGTCTAACGACTGGTAAAAAGTTTGGTGTTATTTAAATTGTGCAATTGAAAACCCTGTAATTAATGTCGATGTCCGCGAAGGGTGTATGCAACGCTTGAGTCATTATAATTCCCCTCTCTTGTGCGGATAAGTGCGTGCAAGTGTGTGCGTGAATGTGTGTGCGGCAAAGAAAAATATATAAACTCGATCGCAGTCAAATACTACTCTGACTCATTAATTTATGACTAATTATACGCTTAATTAATTTCAATCATTTTTAATTAATAATGCTTTGTGTATATCTGCTTTTCTTGCAGTCGCCACAATCTTCAGTTGCAGCTCTCATTTTTTGAGTGGGGCGAGGAACTCACACGCACACCAATACAAGCACACGCGCCAACAAGCCCACACACTTATATACGCATACACTTAAAAGACTTACGACTGCAATTGTAAACATCGACAGGCACTACGGAGCGAGCGAAGTCAAATGACGGAATACAAGTTAGTTGTTGTTGGTGCCGGTGGTGTTGGCAAATCGGCGCTAACCATACAACTTATTCAAAATCATTTTGTGGATGAATATGATCCCACAATTGAGGACTCATATCGGAAGCAAGTGGTTATTGGTGAGTATAGCATGAATCGATAACATTCGCGATTATCGATTAACGTACATTCAAAATGTAAACAACAATTGAATGTTGCCAGATGGTGAAACCTGCTTGTTGGATATTCTGGACACCGCCGGTCAAGAAGAGTATTCTGCAATGCGTGATCAGTATATGCGCACCGGTGAGGGTTTTCTGCTGGTGTTTGCTGTGAATAGCGCTAAGTCTTTTGAAGATATTGGCACATATCGCGAGCAAATCAAACGAGTCAAGGATGCCGAGGAGGTGCCAATGGTGCTTGTGGGCAATAAATGTGATCTGCCTTCGTGGAATGTGCAAAACGAACAAGCACGAGAGGTAAGTTCATGTCCAATCAAAAAACAACCTCTAGACTCCTGTATTTGTTTATGAGTATAAATTTCTTCATTCGTAGGTGGCCAAGCAATATGGCATTCCATATATCGAAACATCAGCCAAGACGCGCATGGGCGTCGATGATGCATTTTACACATTGGTGCGAGAAATACGCAAAGATAAGGACAACAAGGGACGAAAAGGACGCAAAACGAATAAGCCGAACCGTAGATTTAAATGTAAGATGCTCTAAATGGCCTCACATTGGTTTTATTATTATTTTTTTTTTGTCATTAACGCCTGTCCGGTTTGTGCGTTGTGTGTGTGTCTGTGTGTTTGTTGAGTGTGCTAGATAAATGCAACAGTTTTTATATTTTGTTGTGCTATTTGTCAGTGCGGCATTTAGTTTACGCACGACAACACATGCGCACACCCACACGCACACACTCGCACAAGTACAAGTGCGCGTGTTAGGTTGGTGCAATTGATGGGAGGATGAACAAAATTGTAATTAATTTAAGCAACTAAAGTTTTATTGTATGTCAAATCATTTTATGTTCAACTTGTGTGTGTCGTTTTAAAATGTTTTGTGGCGCCCTTTTAAGATTATTAATAATGCGCGTACACGTAAAAAAAAAAAAAAAAAAAAAACTATGAATTAAAAAACTATTGTAACTGCCTTGGTTAAGCTATTGCGATAGCGCATCTTGGAATAACCATTTGTTTTCAGTGAGCACAAAAGTAAACAAAATTTAAAACCATGTTATTTGTGTGTGTACCGTGATTAAAACGATATACGATATTTGTATGTAAATGTTTAATTTTTGTTTAACTGAAAGGCCTTGTAACACGTATCATTTTAAGAATAAGGATATATATCCTTATATATCTAATGTCAACCGCGTTCAATTTCGTTCCCTCCTACAAATACACTCACACACGCACAAACACAATTCCATTACAAAATTTCCACATGAAAAGAGAAATGAAAATTTAATGAAAAGCTCACTGTCGTATATATTTTTTGTGGTGCTAAATTCAACAACTAATACCAGCACAATATGTATGAGTTATTTAAAAAGAAAAAGAAAAAAAAAACGAAATAAAAAATATTATTTTTTCTACTTATCTTACTGAACGATCGATCAGCTATCTAGCTTATGCAAAGCTCTCTTTAGACTTAAAAATCAGACAAAAAATTGAATCGTATATATATTATATACATGATTCAATTGACTTCATGCACCTTACTCACATATGCAATTATTATTTCAGTTTACAAATAAAGAGATTTGCATAAGCTAGACTGAACTAGGTATGTAGTAGATAAATGCTGCATTACGCAACAAGCAGCCAATTACATACACATATATAGTTTGCTTTAAGCTTTTTATACATACATAAATTAATATTTAATTTTTTTGTATTCATTTTTGCCATACAAAAAGGAAAGTAATAAATCAATTGTGTGTACTATTTAAATACATCGTAACGGGTTATATAGTTCGAAGGCTGCCAGATTGTTCGAAAACCGATGAACTCCGTCGGTACCATGATAAATGAAACAAATGCCTCAAATTACAATGTAAACAATTATATTTAAATATTTGTCTCAATCACAGTACATAAGCTAGTGTGTGTGTAATTACAATTGATTAATACATATTTTTAAAATTAAAGACAAAATGTACGAACTTTAAATTTCAAGACTTTTAGACTTATATGCGCTGCGTAACTTGTCAAGATCCTCCATTTCATATTGTGAAAATAACCATTTTGGATTTTCGAATTCATCAAATGGAGCATTTGTGATATAAAGAATTGCATCTGCTACATTAAAATTCTCTGTCATTTTTGGTAGCAAAAGGCGCGCATCTGTCTGAAAATCTAAGTTCTTGTCATCAATTAACAATGCCAGATTAGCCTTTGTACCGCTAACCAAAGGGACTTCCATACTAAGTGAATAACAGCAATGAAAGTTTAAGGATCATTATATGTATATATAGAACAAAAATATATATGTATACAATCCATACCTGCTCTTCTCACATTTATCAGCCAGTCTGCGCAGAACTAGCTGGCTGAAAAACATTGTCCGGAAATTTACAGAAGCAACGTGTAGCCAAAGCAACTCAAATATACTTTGCAATTGCTCCGTATTTAATGTATCCCATTTGCATATGCAGTAAATGTGAGCAACAGATATGACTGACTCCTGTTGATCGGGCTGAAGAGTACCAAGCGCCATCAGCTGTTCCTGTAGCATTTCGAATCTTGGCACAAGCTTGGCCACCAGACATTCGTAGAGCAAATTGATATTCATAAGGTTCCTCGGGTTTAACAAGGCTGCCCAGAGCTTGTCATTCCAATATTCAGATATCGTTTCACCAAAGCGTTCAAGATTCAAAATTGCTCGGATAAAACGAATTTGTACTCTGTGGTCTTTTGAATTTTCAGCAATTTCTCTTTGACTTATATTCGAGATGATATCAAGCATTTCGTCAAATAGTTCGATTTGCCCTGTTTTCATTTTACTCACGTACGTTATAAAATTGCTCTGTTTAATATGTTCTACTGTATTCCAGGTCGATAAACTGTTTAGATATGCACTCTCGATGCTTTAAAAATACAATAAATCAATTGACTGGAATTAGATTTCAAAAATTACAAAATTATCTTACCGTTTTACTCCTGTCGGATGCTCGAAAAAAAGTAAGCCACTGATTAAAGTTGATTGTAATACATAATCGGTGTTATATAGTATGTTTCCCAGATCCCAGCCGCTTCTACTATTGGAAATCAATTTTTGAACGAGTATTACCGTTTTACTTGGCTCCTGATATTTGGATATATAATTTAATATTTTTCCAGGGCTGAAAAGAGACTTCGTTAATTGAGTATTTTAATTTTGTGTAATGCCTGTCTCTCTCTCTATAGGAGAAATATGGAATCTGTTCTCGAGTGTTTTCTTGTCATAATCCATAAATGGAGTTAATATTCGTATTCTCTATATAATAACCACAAATATTCGAGTACTCACTTTAGTAAACGTCTGTTATATTTATTTAACTGCTCTAAGAAGAAGTCAATCAAGTTCTCGTCGGGCAACTTTTGGTCGTGCTTCTCCAAAAGACTCGCCATATGTGACAATGTATCGAATGAGCCGGTCTCCAGAATGTCAATTGGGTTCAAGTTAAATTCACCAAGTTGACTCCAATGATGCACATTCTTGATAAGAAAATTTTGAAGGCTTCGTTGCTTTACAAAAGATATCTCGTCCGCTGATTGGCATTTTAACTTGTCAATTAGGTGTTGCTGTAACTCGTTCAGATCCTTGCACTCCTCGATCAAATCAATATTTACGTCATATCTTGTACGAAAGAATTCCCTAGCTGCTTCCTTTGTACTGAAGGTGGAAAAAAATGCGGGCAGACGCCACCAGCCGTGCAAATTTGTTGGCACAGAATCAAGTTTTCGCAGTAGCTCCTTAAGTGAACTCCAAAGATTATTATCATTATGCTCATCACGGAAGATCTCGTAAGTGCTCTTAGTGAGATGAACAATTTCTTCTTTCATGTCATCACAACTATCAATTAGGATTTGCAGTATGTCTATAAGAAGGCCGTAAACATCTTCGTTGTCTCGATAGAGCGTCTTAACGAATTCTATGAAATGAGGCAACGATAAGCTTTCAATGGATACCTGAAATCGAAAATGTTAATAAATACTATTTCGTATATATAACAGTTCACTTACCTCAAAAAGATCACAGAGGAGATTGCCGGCGCTGTTTCGCAAGCTCGCATTTTCTATTTTTCGCACATGTGCAGCTAACTTGAGCAGCAGATTATTTTGTATTTGGGTCTGGTTCCTCGGCTCTTGGCAGCTCAGCCAGCGATGCAGTGGCACCCCAGTCCAGGACACCTCGGCCAAGGCCTTCAGGAACTGGTTATTATCATTTTCAGTGACAAACTTCTTCATTTTGGTCTCCTGGATAGGATTGCCCTCGAAGTTGTGCAGTTCCAGATGGTTGGTAGCTGAAAGGAACTCGATCAACAGATTTGCACTGAAGAGCTCAGCAACGGTGAAGTGGTCCATTATGAAATCGATGATGACGTGCCGCATTGAGATATTTGTAGTTTTCAATAGTCGTATATATAAAATACGCATCCAGTTACCATCTAGATTTCTCTCCTTTATGAGGGATAAGGATACTGATTTTTCGTCAATTTTGATGCATTCCATTACGCTTATATAGGAGTACAAATCCAGATTTTCAGAGCTAGTGCTGTTCAGTAGCTTATTTAGAATCAAATAACCGGAATTACGTTCCTCATTAATCTCTGATTCGAGGAGTTTTTGTATACGGCAATAAAGTTTTGAAGAGTCGATGCACTTAGGTCCTAGTTCGTGTAAAATATCATTGAACAATTGCCCGAGCACCTGGCCCTCCTCGTTGTTTGAAGTCCTGGAACACACTTGTGTCAAGAGGAACTTTCCTTCTTCCGGGAATCGACTCGCCCACATTTGTACACACAGCAGAAAGTCGGAAACCAGTTGAGAATTATATGTCTGCACTTGACAATCGTCTTTGGGACTGGGTACTATCACTTCAAACAATTTTCGAATCAACTTCAATGCCAAATGCAGATTGTCACTGTTGTTTGTATTGAGCAAACCGAATACATATTGTATGAGTCGCTTTAACTGAGGTTCCTTGGACGAGTCCACAAAATCCAGGAGAATTTCGACCAGCTCCATGGCTGTTAAGTTACCCACTTCTCCAGTGGTATTCGCTGCTAACATAGCAGAGCATAAACCTATGAATAAAATAGCAACAAAAACTAGACGATTCATTAACTATTTACAATTTGATTTTTTTTAGATATTCTGCGATTGTGTGGTCAAAAATAGTGGTATTAAAAACAGCTGACGAGACAAAAATTCGTTCAGTTTTCAGAGATCCGCTCCGGCAGCTCATAGTGAGCCAAAGTGTTAATCTTAAATTAAATATTGTAAGCTGGCCATCAATGAAATCAAATTATGAACATGATATAATACAAATATAAATACGTATACAAATAGAATAATGTAAATACGCAATTGCATTGAAAAACATTTCAATAAGTAGTTTATTTCAACAGCTTGTGGCTCAGTAGTTCATTCCAAAAACTTGTTCAATAGAACAGCAGCAAGCAGCACTGTTAAAAGAAAAATCTAAAGACGCGCGCACTATTTTCTGAAATAATGACATCATGATGTTAACATAACAACTGCGGTGGATCTATTTCGGATTCATAAAATTGATCAAATTGGTTCAAATAAATTTAATTAAACGGTGACTTTGTTAACATTAAAATATTTAAATAAATTTTTCCTTTTTACGTTTGTAAAACATTTAACAATGCACCGATAAATCAATAGTTCATTAATAGTTATGAATGTTCATTTATTGTAGAGTAAAATTATTTACTTCGTGGCCCGCGGAAAGCATTACTGTTTCGGGTGTGGTGGGAGCGCCGAGCCTGACCCACTCTCGAGGCAACCCGGCATCCTGTCTAGCTGCCTGTATGGCATGTTGCAGGGCAAAGAGTACGCCCACCGCCAGGCATAGAGCTGGCTCTCCCGTAGCTTTTGAGCGCAGAAATCCAACAGGATTGGGACTTTTTTGCAGCAGTTCAATGCGGAAATCAATGGGTATATCCTTGGCACCTGGAGGATGATAGTTCCAGGTACGGTTTGTGAGAAGACGACCCGTCTGACGATCGTAAACCAGATGCTCGGTGAGATAGTAACCCAAACCCATGACGAAAGCTCCTTCAACTTGACCAACATCTATGTTGGGACTAATACTCTCGCCCGCATCCTCCAGGATGTCTACGCGGCTTATTAAGTGGTTGCCAGTCAGTATGTCCACCTCTACCTCGGTTAGACTTAAGCCGTAGATGCTGTAGTCGCTTTGATCACCCCTTTTGAACGATTCGGTTGCAATCAAGCTGATGGACTGGTTGAAGGCTGCCTCCACTACCTGTGGCCAGCTGGCCTGGGATCCCAGTCTACGTTTAACCGGCTCCAGGCGCTTGTTCAGCTTATCGCAGCACTTACGAACGGCAATGCCCACCAACTCGCTTGCCATAGAATTGGCTGTCACAAAGGAGTTAGCTCCTATTATAGTATTAGTGGTCTCAATTCGAACACGCTCAAGGGGAACGCCCAGCACGAGGGCAGCCACCTGGGCTACTTTTGTATTTATGCCTTGGCCCATCTCGATGCCTCCGTGAGATATCACCACAGAGCCATCCGCATGATAAATGGCCACCGTCGCTGGGTAGGCCAAGGCAACGCTCACAGTTAGAGGAAAGTCCATCAAAGCTAGTCCCAAGCCCCGCTTCCGCCATCGATTCTGAGCATTGAACAAGTTGATTTGCTCCCGCCGCTCGCGGTATGCCGTGGAAGCGAGAAATCGGGGAAGAAGCTGCACCATCTTTGTTCCCGGTCGGAGATTTACTAGTCTGACATCAGCTGGATCCAATTTGCAGGCGAAGGCGATGTTCTCCAGTGCCGTCTCAGTCATGGCAATGGCTGTAAATCGAAGCACGGAAACCAGCTTGTAATGCATTTCCTTCTGCTACGACATGAGATGGAATAGAGCTAGAGACAATCTTATTAACTTACCCTCTGCTGTCCCTGGTGCCCGACACCACGTTGAGCTAGGTGCATCTGTTCTCACAGTAGTGCCTTTAACCTTAAAGTTCAAACTGGTCAGATTATAGACATTTTTGACTGCTGGTAGGGTGAGAAAGTCTACGACATTTTCGTTAAGGCTGCATCCGGCATCCTCGTAGTAGTTATTGGTGAGCATACGAATCGAGCCGTTTGCGCTAGCTCGGAATTCATAATCGGAACGACACGCGTAACGCTTTCCATTCGATTCCATCATAGACTCAATGGTCTGCACGAAACGTGCTGGCCGATTTAATTTGAATGCAACCAGAGCACAGGCACAGGCTACCTGGTTACCTCGTGTTACTTTAGCACCATACGCTCCGCCGATTCGTCGCACCTGTAATTGAACGGCATTCGCCTCCAGCTTGAGCATTCGTGATATGCTCGCTTGGGTCACGTCCATCCATTGAGTGGCGCTCCAAACCTGCAGTCCTTGTTCATTAGGAACCACTACTGTCGTTTGTGGCTCCATGGTGAAATGGTATTGGGACTCCAACTCCAGAATTCCACGGCCCAGCACATCGCCTGGCTTTAGAGGCGTTTGGGCGAGCTCCTTATTGGGCTCAGTACATATCACCAGACGATCTTCCACTTTGGCTGACAGAACCGCATTCATGCTGGTGTAAATCTTAACCTGATCATTGGCATAGGTAACCTGCACCAAAGTCGCCGCATAGACGGCCACATCGTGTGTCAATGCTGCGATTACTCCCAATGGCTGATCATAGTACAATACACGTCCAGAACAAAAGATTTCCTCCACATCACCCGGAACGGTGAACACTGTAGTATTGTTGAAATTATTGTCGCCAGGAATGTCCTTTGACCCATAGAACGCAACCACGCCCTTGCACTGGAACGCGGGAGCCGAGTCGATCTGCTCTATTGTTGCACCCACCCGTTTGGCCGTGACAAAGGCACAGTGCACAGCATTAGACGTGGTTAGCAAATCGTTGATGTAGATTGCTTCACCTGCGCATTGAATGAGACCTAACGGAAGTAATGGAATTCCAATCTAAAACAGCTCTCTAATATGCTCAGAATAAATATAGGCATACCTTCCAGTTTCTCCACTGGCTTAGTCACGGGATACTTATTTGGTATGGTCTCGAATGATTGGCTGCCGGAGGAAAGCGGGCGCTCTAGCAGGTCACCACCACTATGAAAACGCTTTCGGACCAGCTCTTCGGGCGCCGAGCCAAGCAAAAACTTGTAGAAAAGCGAACAAGCTAGTTTTTGACGATACGCAGGCGAGGCCTCGGGCGGCATTTCCACTGCCTGTAGACTTGTCGGCAGCTGTTCGAAGACCTGCGCCACAGTGGCGCTGTCATACAAATCCCGACCTACCAACAACTGCTCGGCATGCTCAGCGTGCACGAAGTCAGGCCTGATGTTTCCAAAGCAAAGGCGAGCCGAGGCCACTATGCGATGCTGAACATTCTGCCACTCGATCAGGAATCCACTATTAACATAGGCATGCACGTTTTGAGCACGCGGTAGGATCTGTTGGAGAGGGGGGATTATTAAGTGCCACACCCCTATCATTAAAACTAACCTTGTAAGAATTGAACAAGTATTTGGACTTTGGATAAGGCCTCAGAATAAATCCGCCTATAACCAGTTTGGGTGTAGTATCCTGTAGATAAGACAACAGAGTCATTATCCGTTGACTGCTCGCATTGTCGTGCACCAAGACATGAGCATCCAGGGCCTCAAGTGTGATGAAGACATCCGAGGGGAACTCCGGGTGCTGCTTCTTGATGGAAATATTACCCGCCAGTGTTCCATTCTAAAATTTAATATATTCTTGTTATGGTTGTAAATTTGAAATCTCTTCATTAAAATTTCAAATTCATTAATTTCAATTCACTTTCTGTTTCCATACACATATGTATGTCGAATTAGGAGTGCGCCTGAAACAAGTTTCAAACTGGATTATGTGGAATTATGGTCACCACTTACATTCCGCACTGGCACATTCGCAATCAGGTTGAAATGCTGCCACAATTGCGCGCAGTATTCGAAGCCCGGGCGTTGCTCGGCCTGCTTGAAGAGCAGCATGGTCTCTGTGAGAGTCAAATTGGCACCCAGCAAGAGGTGGTCTGGCTCAATGCTCTGCTGCTTTAGCTCCGGCACCATATTGACGTCCACATAGTGCTTTATACTCCTCGGCCGCCTATAGACGCCATGCGCCGTGTTACCTGCCACCAGAATGTACTCCTCTCCACTGGGCACCTGGGCGAGGGCTTCAAACAGTTCGGCCAGAGTCTTGGGCCAGTACCAGTGGCAGTTGTTCTGGGCAGGCAGGGATGGGCGGGAGCAGCTACCACTGCAGCATTGACCGGTGCGTGGACAGAGCAACTCAAAAGAGTCCTCGATGTCCACGCACTCTGCTGGTACCTCAATGGTGCTGTCGACAGCAAAGGACTTCATGGCATCCAATATGGGCCTGTAGCCAGTGCAGCGACAGATGTTTCCTCCAAAGCCATCTTCCACTTCAGCCATGGTCACGCGTCCACCTCGACTCTCCAAAAGTCCGTACATGTTCATTACGAATCCCGGCGAGCAATATCCACACTGGCTGCCGTTAAGTTTGGCAAGACGCTTCTGTATGGGATGATAGCCGCTGCTCTTATTGCCCAGCCCCTCATCGGTGATAATGTCCACATCGTTACAGGTATTAAGCAGGGTTAAGCACTTCAAAGGAGGTATAATATAATTTAGCTTAAACAATCCACGTCTGATATTCATCCATCTGAATCATATTTACCGAGTTCGTGGCCCGGGAGCTTATTTCCCCCGTAATGGGATGACGACGTCGTATTAAACAAACACAAGATCCACAGCCGCCCTCCAGGCACATATATTTGGTGGCTGTCAGGTGGAGATGTTCTCTCAGGAATGTATTTAGAGTGATGTCCGCCGCGTAATCATGCGGCTGCACTTCGTACGGGAAGCCATTTACATTGAACTTGATGCTCATCCTGGTAAAATTGGCGGCCGAATGCTGAGTTCATGGCTGAGCTCTTCTATTTAAAGCCTCTGTTGACAGTAAACAGGTAAAAGCTAAACGAGTTTCTGGTGTCAGTCAATCTTTGCAATACACAGCAAAACCCAATATAACATATGTATATATTTCAATTTTTTATTTAATTTAATTTTAATTAATCTTTTTCAGCACACTTCTTGAAATACCCTTCTGAATAAAAGCATTATATAATAAAGAAAATTTATAGAGAATGCACCCATTAATTTATACATTAGAATTGAATAATTTTATAGTGGTCCAATATAATCTCCGGCACAAACATGTTTAATAAACTTGTATGCTGTACGAAAGAGTATGAGACCTAATTAAACTTGAAATCCAAAACATTTTAGTAATTCAATGAAAAAACCCAACTCATTGAGTTTATCGCCATGCATCAGAGACAATATTTTTGTGCTGATAACGCAAACTTACATATGTATGTCAGTTCAACTGGATATATGTGTATATACTGTTTATACATACATATGTACATATATTAACTAGTTCTACTTACATACATACTATGTATGTTTGTTAAACTAGCTTTAATAGCCCACTCTTTTAATTTTTGTTAAGACTAATGTATGATAAAACTTAACAGGAGAACTTTTATTTAATAGAATTTCTTAATTTTATATAACGATGATGTAAGTAGAAAATATTTGAATTCTTACTAAGTTCGGACACTGACCAGAGAACACATAGACTAGACATGTAGTACAAAGTTTTTCAACACCGAAAAATCTGTCTCCTAGGGCCTATCAATTTCGTATTTGCTCGGCTCTTCACTTTTTAG